GTGGGGGGGTCCGCACCCGCGATCGAGGTAAGGGCGGCCGTTGTAGAAGAGGAAGACGGCGATCGCGCCCGGCAGCGCACCCGCTGCAGCTGCTGCCTCGACCGCCTCCTCCGCCGCCGCGTGCGTTGGGAAGCGCACGCGCCACCGGCCCTCCTCGAAGCGCGGGTTCTCAAACGCCCCGAGAGCACTGCGCAGCTCTGCCTCGGCGCCGGCGCCGTCGAGCCCGCCGCCCTTCTCGACGAGGATGACCACTTCGCCGTCCAGCTCCGCCGGGCGGGCTGGCACGGAGCGGTGGCGGATGACGATCGTGCCGAAGAGAGAGGCGTAGACGTCGCCCATGACCTGCGGAGGGGTAGGAAGAGGGGAGGCGTTAGGAGAAGCAAGGGCATGTGCGCGCGGGCGAGAGGATGGGGAGTAGAAGAGCGGCGGGCGCAGAGGGCGGAGGGGAGAAGGCGGCGCGGACCTTGAGCGCTTGATGGAAGAACTCGTCCTCGGCCGCCGTCCTTGGCTTTTGCGGGAGCGAAGAGAAGCTGCGGAGGGGGGGCGCACGGGGGGCGGGGGCGGCAGAGTGTGAGAGAAGCGTCAAGTGAGGGATAGGCGCAGAGGGAAGGCCTGCCTATCACGCAGCGCAGCCACTGGGTCTGGGGTGGGTCTGGGGCGGCGGCGCACTCCCAGAAGAGGGCGGTCACGTGCTCGCCGAGCGGGTGGCGCAGGAAGCGCCGCACGTTCGCCAGATACTCTCCAGTCACGTCGGGGTGGTCCGGCGAGGCCCAGCCGTAGGTCAGCCCGGCGACTTCGCGGCTCAGCGAGCGCAGCGCCGCAACAGCCTCCTTCGGCGTGAGGAAGATGCGGATGCCATTCTCCGTCTCCATCCGCTCCAGCTCTTGCCGGCGGAGGAGCTCGGGCAGCACCGCCTCGGAGCCGTCGGCGCGCAGGAACTCGGCGCGGAGCAGCTTGATGGCGCCCGAGCGGAGGGCGGCGACGAGCGCCTCGTCGAGGGCCGCCAGCAGCGGGATGCCCTTGTGGTCGGCGGCGGTAAGCGCAGCTGGCTTGCTCGTCCCGCAGCCCATCGTGTGTTGCTCCTCGCGTGAGCCGCAAACAACTGCTTTTTTTACCAAAAGGAGGGCTACACGAGGCCCTCTACGCTGGGGCGCCGGCGAAACAACTGCTTTTTCAGTGTAAGTATGTAGCTCTTACGAACATTGTGCTCTCCTTTTAGTGCTCTACATCGCTACATCCTCCCGATTCCTGAGTCGCCTTATCTCTCACGCTCCCCCATTGTCTGCAGAGACAACAAAGGTAAGGCGTCGCGCTGATCAGAGGCGCGAGGTAGTGAACGTGGCATAGTGACCTTCCGCGGGCTGAAGGTAGTAACCTATCGGAGCGGTCGACTGGATGTCAATTGAACAACATGGGAGAAGCCGATCTGGTAGATCAGCGGACGAGCTTGGCTCGATGCTTGAGGAAGGTCGTCTTGTCGAGAGCCTTCGTCCAGATGTCGGCGGACTGGTCGCTGGTCGGGACGAACTCGGGCGAGGAGATGTTGTCCTCGTAGTGGAGGCGACCAAGACGCAGGAACTTCTCAAAGTGCCGGTTGCGAGAAGTGACTCCACCATTGCGGGTTGCGAGGACGACGCCGTTGCTGTCGGTGCGGATGGTAGTGGGCATCTTGAACCCGCCTCCGCCAAAGACAGCGACCTGCTGGCAAAGCCGAAGGGACATGCTGGCGCCAGCGTAGGCGAAGGACTCGGACTCGTAGAACGCGAGAGCAGCTCGCGACGGGCGCTCCCCCATACCAGACGCCGTGGCCATAAAAGGTGTCGGGAATCTGGTTGTAGGCGAGTCGCAGTAGACAACTCCGTCGAGATTGGAGGAGGCGCTGAACTCGAGGCCAAGGTCGCGCGTCGTGTAGAGGTAGCTGAGGACGGCGAGAGCGGCCTCATAGTTCTCGATCTTCGCATCGGTCGGTGCATGAAGCAGCAGAGACGCGCGTTGTAGAACTTGATGTCGGGGCGCGTCCAGCCGATCCAGTTCAGCCCGCTCTCCTGGCGATGGCTCCGCCCGCCATGCAGTACAATGATTTCGGAAGCAAGTTTGTGTCACTTCATAACGAGTGGAGATAGCAGGCGAATGGCGGGGCAAGGCTACAAGCTAGGGTCAAGGCGCGCAGCTTGAGCGGCTCCATCTTTTCAGCCGCGACGGAGGGACGACGCCTTGAGCGCTGGCGACGGGGCCAGCGCGTGCGTGGCCAGGGCCCAGGCCAAGGGTGCCGACGACCGCCACGCCTGCATTGCTGCAACGGCATTAGCACCTGTGCAAAAGGGGCTGCGGCCTGCGCGGTGGCCGGTGCGCGGTGGGGGAACAGGCTGAGAACAGGGCCGAAATGGATGGCGGTTTAGTCTTTAGACTTTAGTTGTGTTTAGACGTTAGAGCTCGCTCTAGAAAGAAACCATCTTCGCCCTGATGTGAGACACGTCTCTCTCTCGCCCTCTCTCTCTCTCTCTCTCTCTCTCTCTCTCCAGCAAGCTCTCGCTCCTCTCCTCCCCCGCTGACTGGGCGCGCCAGCCACCACTGCATGGGACACTCTCTACCACCGTCTCACCGCGGAGGGCGGCGCGGCGCCGGGCCGTCGCTGCGTCGGCCGCTCGCGTGCGGACCGACCACCCCTCCGCCCTCCCTCAAAAAGTTGTTCGTGGCGTGAGGCACAGCCGCGCGCGAGGCACAGCCGCGCTCTCCTCCTCCCGCCTCGCCGCTCCAGGGCCTGAAGCCTGCGCGGCCTTGCCCTCTCTCCCCTCCCGCGCGCGTCCGCGCGCCCGCCCCCCCCCCGCCGGGAGGGGAGGAAGGAGGCGCCCCCTCCACCCCTCCGCCCTCGCGCCTCGCCCGCCCCTCCCGAGGCCCAGAAGCTGCGCTTCCCTTCGCGCGGCCGCCGCGTCAGATCCCGGCCACGCCCTCAAAGTCGGCGGCCGAGCGCGCAAGGGCGGGGCGGCCCGTGTCGCTGCGTGTGGCGGAGAGGGCGAGCCAGTCGCCGACGGCGCCCTGCTCCGAGCCGGCGCGCCTCTGCTGGTCCAGCCGCGCCGCGACGTCCTCCCACAGCCGCGATGCGCCGCGGAAGAGCGTCGCGTTGCCAATCACGTACAGCCCCTGCCGCGCGCGAGAGAGGGAGACCACGGTGCAGCGGTCAGCCTGCAGCGGCCCCGGGCTGCCGCCGCCGTCGGATCGGACGAGCGAGAGGACCA